TGTGAGCAGCTGTCCAGAAGCCAGTGACTGATCTGCCTCACCCAGGAAGAGCGCAATGATGGTGCCAACTTGGGCCAGTGAGGCAACGTCCTCCACAACTAGACTGAAGAACAAAACGACAGTAACTTGTCTGTTCCCCTTCCCCCAATTCCCCAGCGCTGTTCCCATCCCCTAATTCCCCAATAAAAATCTAAAAAGAAAAAACAAGGTGACAACCAGTAGGTTCCCACACAAAGTGGGGGGTATACAAATACGCTTGCATGTACACAAAGTAATTGTAGATGAATACACAAAAGAGCTGAGCAGTGAGTGGGGCTGGGGGTTGGAGACTTTACTTTTCATCTTATGCCTCTCTGGACTGCTTAGATATTTTCATAAATATTAATTACTCTTAAAGAATAATTTTTTTTTAAAAAAACTAGTTTAAATTTAAGAATAAACTGACAGCTCTGCTTACCAGATTCATTAAACAAAAGGGAAAACATAAATGGATTTACAGTGAATCGCCTCAGCAGTTTCACCCCTTTGACACGCCTGTATCCAGTGTGAGAAAGCCTCTCTCTAACACAGAATTCCTGCCCTTCTCAACCAAAGATACTTAGCAAAGGCTACAGTCCGGCTTCTTGATCGGAGAACTACAGACATTTGGCGCTGGATAGTTCTCTGTTTTGGGGAGGAGGGTTACTCTGTACATTACAGGATCCCCAGCCCTCGACCCATTAGCACACCATTTCTCCTTGGTCTGTGTGTGACAACCAAGCATGTTTCCAGACACTGCAAATACCGCCTCTCATTGAGAACCACTGCTCTAGGGCCACAGTGGGAAAGGCACTGGTAAAGTACAAAGAGCCGATTTCAGAGGCAAGCATGCAGATGGGCTATTAGCTTAAAGAGAAAGAAAATGCAGGAAGGCCTTGAACCTGAGGGAGAGTGCAGTATCTGAAGAGTTCTTTATCTTCTTGGAAATCTTGGACCTTGGTAACCGCTTTTTCATTTGGACTATATTCTGATTTTGCAATGGTCACGTCTCTCATTAACTGTAATCCAAGTGGTTTCACCTCTTTTCTGCAGATTCTTTCAAACTCATTCCTAGAAAATTAAATTGGCAAATAATGTCATTACCACTGGCTCCAAGCATCTGCCCGGCCTGGCTCTGGAAAAGATTCTCAGATTTTGGGGTCGCGGGTGTTAGTGCTAAGTTGGCCTCCAGCCCCAGGTTGAATAGGCCTGGGTATGGAGGAGAAAATGGCCCACTCAGAAGTCCCTGCCTCTAAACTATGAGGCTGCATTCACTACCAGAATTTAAATATTCCTTAGCTCAGCAGACTAGTAGGGAAATATATGTGATTTAGCTACATCTGAAGAATAATAGCAAACACTTCCATAGCACTTATCACGTCAGAGTCTTCTCTCAATATTCTACCTTATTTAGTCCTAACAACTCTAGGACGTAAGTACTAATATTACCCCCATTTTACAGATGTGAAAACAAAGGCCTCGAAAGGTTAAATAAATTGCCCCAGAACACACAGCATTAAGATTAAAGCCAGCAGTCTGGCTCCAGAGCCCAGGTTCCGGACCACTTCCTAAAGAACCGAATCACTGAACAATGTCTGAATGTACACAAGCTAATCTTACCGTATTCCCATCACATACATGTAACACATATTTCTATAAAATACTGAATAGTGTTACTGTACCGAAAGCGTTCAATATCAGCATCAGATACCAAGTTTCTAATGACAAGAAACCCATTTTCTTCATAAAATCTTCTCTGTTCTAGGCTTAGAACATTATTATCCTGAGTATACCTAAGGGAGGGGAAAAAAAATCTCAAATTAGGTCCAATTGAAAAATCACAACCTAACAATATGTATCAAGAACCCGAGAAATGTTCATACTCATTCACCCATCATTTCTCTTTCGAAGACTTTAAGGAAATAATCTAAAGAAGTTTTTAAAGCTTTAAATCCAAAGCATTAACTAATGTCACCAAGAAATGGAAGAATAATTATGCGATCTCCACTCAGGCATTAAAATAAAAAGCATATAATAGTATGGACAGGTTTATTATAATAAAATATGATTGTGATTTATTATAAAACTAAGACACTATTTGTAAAAAAACAAAACAAAACAAAAACAAAAAAACCCCGCAAAGAAATGCAACAAAAAAAATCTAACAAGTGATTCCATTTATGTAATGGAATTATGGATGATTTTTTAAAATTCCTTCTATTTCTCTGATTTTAAAATTTGTTCTGTAATGAATATATATGGTTTTTCAGATGAGAAACAAATTCAATATATTTTATATTTTTAACTGTCTAGTTCATGCATTCTCCAAAGAAATCAAAGTAACAAAATCCAAATAAGTATACAGCATACAGCATGATATCGGGGGTGGGAGGGCAGTGGATGGGGGGAGGGGGGTTGTTATTTTGTGAGGGTGAAAAGGGTAACTATTGCATTGTTCTGTACACCTGAAACTAACAATAAAAATAAAATAAAATAAAATAAATTTAAAAAAAAGTATACAGCATACACACAGACTCAAATCACCCAGTCCATTCCTCTTGTTTGAATTGTGGCTGTGTGAGAATATTCCATGGAGATAGAATGTCTCCCCCTTCAAAGGTAATTTAAGATAATCCAAAGATGCTAGCTGATAAATCAATATGACCATAGGACAGGTGAATTTGAATGCTATACTATGCCTGAGTTTTAAAAAAACAGATTACGCCCTTTCTGATATATTTCCTCCTTTCTGAATTTTATAAATACAAATAGAAAGTTACAGTCAGGATCTTCAAAATGTTCCACAACTGTTCTAATTAGAACAAGTCCTAGAAATGGAGGCTTTGCATAATGAACTCTTACCAGGCACCGGGATATATTGTGTTTCGTGTCATAGTTACCACTAGAAAAGCCTTTATACGCATTGTACGATTGAAAATTAAAATTAGATCTACTTACTGGAATTGTTGAGGATGGAAACTGGCAGGAGAAATAGCCCCTGAAGTTAAGTGAGCTGCCTAGGATGTGAATTAAGGCAAATAAAGTAAAATTTAGGAGTCAACCTTTTCTAGAAACACGTCTGCTCTGGGTTGGCTCTCACAAGGAAGGACTATGTAGGCATCAAGCAAACCGGTTACACACATAACCTCTGACAGTTACGTACTGCTGTTTACATCACTCCATTTCACTTGCATAGATGTCTGAGGAGGTGGCTGGAAGCCCAAGAGCTTCCGTTATCTGCCCTGCTGCTCACAGCAAGAAAGCTAGGCTTGGAGGTCACCCAGCAGAAAATGGCTGAGATTTGAGCCACACTCTTTACTTCATAGTTTCTATGTTATTCTACATGACTATTCCTTCCACTAAACTGCTGAATGAATAAAAATTGAAAGTTTCAATTCTGGAAGTAAGAAGAATCGTGCTATTCAAAAGTGGTATTTAATTTAGTGGGAGTCCAGTCCAAAATATTAGAAATACTTTGGCTGGCCATTTTTTTTTAATCTATAAAATAAACATTAACTCTAAGAAAAGTAAAATCCACATAGTCGAGTATGATTTTAAATAAAGAACTAGTAATTTTTCTAGATTTTTTTTCTCTAGTAGCCACAGGCTATTTTCTTAGCATCTATTGTTTCTTTTTGTGCTTCTCATTTTTTTCACTGTATTTTTAACTTAAAAGAGTTACTTTCAGAATGTCACTTTTTGTAAACATGTTATTTTTTAGTGACCTCTGTATAACTGGGAACAATATAATACTCAAACAGAAAAGCCAGGAGTCAGAATTACTAGCTACTGTCTGTTGTCCATGTGGCAGAGAAGTTAATGACCTCTGTCAACTATTAGAAAACTGTGGTTGCCAGGACAGTTCGGACGTCAGCATTCCAGTTCAAAGTTCTTTTCACCTCTCCCTTTATGTGTTTTTACTTGCCATTGTTGTTTTTGCAGAATTTGTTTAATGTGGAAATGTTTAATCAAATTAATAAGCATTTACTATGTTTACTATATAAATAAAGTTAGTACATATTTACTATAGTTAGTAAACATGAAAAAATGGATGCAAAAAACTGTACACACAGTATGATCCTAATGATGTAATTATGTAAATGCATAGAAAAGAAAGGAAACATACCAGAAAGTTTACAGTGATCTAAGAGTGGTGGAATTATGGGTTATATTTATTTTCTCCTTTATGCTTATGTGCATTTTAAAAACTGCATTATGTTTTATACTTCAAAAATTATTCCTTATTCCAGAGTCCACATCTCTTTAGAGCCCCGTTAAGGCTGAGAAGAAACAACTACAAAATTTCCAGTAAACTGTTGAAGTGTAAACCACACATTCACTGAAAATCTAGGCAGACCTGTCCAACACCAGAGCCGCTGGCCACATCTACTTAAATTAAAATTAAAACTTCAGTCCCTCAGTTGCACTAGTCATATTTCAAGTGTTCAATAGCCACATGTGGCTAGTGGCTACCCTGTTGGACAGTGTGTATAGAACAGTCCCACCATGGCAGAAAGTTGTATTGGGCAGTGCTGTTTAGTACACTTCACCATAGATCTTAGGTGATAAGAATTTAAATTTCTTTACATCATTTATCTGCAGTTTTACATTTTAATTATGCATTTTCAAGAGGAGTGTTTATCTAAAGAATAATCATATACATATATGGATACATAAAAACGGACCACAGTGACTTAATTTTAATTGTTAATTGCCCTGCTACTTAGAGCATTTGAGCACGTTTTAATTTTCCTCTAGTTAAAATGTGCAGTATTGGGCGGGCCGAGTGGCGTGTTGATTAAGAGTTGGCTTGGGACGCCAGCTCTGAGCAGCAGGGCCGCAGTTTGGATCCCACATGAGGGCCAGTGACGCTGCGCCCTTTACAGCTAAGATGGTGAACAACAGCTCGACCTGGAGCTGGGCTGCGGTTGAGTCGCCGGCGACGCCGTAGGCTACAGTGGAGCTGCAGTGGGCTGCCATAAGCTACCAGGAGCGGCTGGCTGCCAAAAGCCGCCATGAGCGGCCGTCCAGTGGCCAGCGACCGATCTGCCTCACCCGGGAAGAGAGCAATGATAATACCAACATGGGCCAGTGAAGCAACATCCTCCACAACTAGACTGAAGAACAAAAGGACAGCAACTTGTCTGTTCCCCTTCTGTGATTCTCCAATGCTCTTCCCCTCCCCCAATTCCCCAATAAAATCTTAAAAAAAAAAAAAAATGTGCAGTGTCTTCAGTGTCATGTTTGACTAGAGTATGATTTCCACCAAGATGTTTTAATAGCCTAGAGATGTCCTGTAATAGTATTTTAAAAGATGTTTGGAATTTAAGAAATAACTTGTATTACTAATTTGTATAACCCATGTGGCAATGGAATATGAATATCACAAAGTGGTTTGGGAAAAAAAAAAAAAAAGGAAATACAGACGAAAACACTGAGCTCCGACCTCGACACTGTAACAAGAACCAGCCAGATCCGAATACCAAATTTTAAAAGTAGTAAGAGACTAGACTGGGAACCTTCATTCTAGTTCCAGTTATAGCTAGAGTCCCCATAAATTGGTGGTTCTCTCAGTTGAGCATGTATCAGAAACAAGTGGCCCCACCCCTCTGGTATAATATTTTGATTTTGTAGGTTGAGTTGAGATTGAAAATCTGCATTTCTGACAAGCTCCCACGTGATGATGATGTTGCTGGGCCTGAGACCACACTTTGACAACCTTAGTTAAATGATCTTGGTCTAAAGATTTAATCCCTCCTAGCCTCAGTTTCTGTTTTCTCACATGTGAAATGAGGTGACGTTATCACCTGGGTTCCCTTCATCAGCCTATGGACAGGATTTTGAAGAGTAGTTCTGATACATAGCTGCTTGGACCTGAGCTGGGAGAGCAATTTGAAAGTGAAAGAAACAGCTAGTATGACGATTTTATGAGAGATTTCAGGGTCCTATAATAAATACATCAGGACAGACCAATCCGGTGGCTTTAGGAACAATCCCAAACACTTTTGAAGGGAGCTTCCAAAAGTGCGCCCAGGGAAGAGAACACTTAATCTGAGCAGCGAGAACAATTCTATAAAGCAGTTTGATTTATGTGTCATATGCTGTAGTGACATCTTTCTGGACTCGATACCGGCAGTGCACACATTCCCTCCCGGATTAACTTCTGATACCGAATCAGGAGGCGGACCAAGGGCACCCAGTCCTTTCCCAGGAGACAGTGTGAATTCGTGGGGGACGCAGCCCTGAGCTCCTTGGAGAAGAAAGGGCTGAGGGCGCCGACTCCCTGCAGAGGCCAGATGTCCCCCAGGCCCTGCGGCCCGCAGGCCTGCCTCTGCTCCTCCAAGCCGCTCTGCGCTCCTGCTCACAGGGCGACCGCGCTGCGACATTGCTAGGTCTCCGGCGGCCGCGGACGTCACGCGCGGCCTAGTGCAGGAAATGACCAGGCCGCTGAGAGCAGGTCCCCTTGGCGACAAGCAGGGAAACCGAGGCCTAAGAGGGCTCGATGCAGCGGGGACGCCACATCGCCCACGGCGGCCAGCACGGGCGCCTGGGAATACGCGCTCCTCCCCGGTGCCCCTGCCCCGGGCATCGGGAAGGGCTGTAACCATCCCGGGAACCGGGGCGCCGAGAAAAGGGGAAGGACCGGCCCCGCGACTGTGCGATCGCCCTGGAGGCCACCACCCTACCAGCCCGAGCCCAGCGCAGCCCAAAGGATACGACGGCCGTGGCCGAAGGGCGGCGGAGGTGACCCAGCACGACTCTCAGGCGGGAGGCAGCGCACTCCGAGTCCATGGTGGCTGTGGCTGCGGCGGTGGCGAGACCGGGCGCCGCGACCTCCGCCCCACTTAACTCGGCGGGTGGTCCCGCCTCCAGGCGGCGCTAGGGCGGTGGGCGGACGCGGGCCGGAGCAACGCGCGGAGACGCCTCCCTTCCCGGTGTGGGAGGGCTCGCGGCAGCTGGGGTAAGGTCGCCCAAGGAGGCAGTGCCCCAGATCGGGAGTTCGCACTCTTCACTGCGTCGTTTCAGATCGTTCCTTCCGCTCCGTTCCCTCCACTAAGCTGCTGAAAGAATCCACATTGACATGTTCGGCCCTAGAAGTAACATGTGCTGTTGTTCAAAAGAGGCTTTTTTCATTTAGTGGGAGTCCAGTCCGAAATATTAGAAACTGGGAAGCCCTTTTTTTTTTTAATTGTATGAAATAAATGACTCCCTGAAATGTCTGAACCGCCTAATATAATTTTAAATTTCCTAAAGAACTAGAAATCTTTTTTTTAATGTAATTTGATGATTTTGCGGTAACAAATACACATCAGTGAAACCACTGCCATCAAGGCAATAAACATCCATATGAGATGGAAACCTCCCAAAGTTTCCTCTCACGCTTTACCGGTATTTTGTGTGTGTGTTTATGGTAAAAATACGTAACAAGGTTTACTCTGAGTAAAGTTTAAGTATATGATGCAACACTGTTAGCCGTAAGCCTTAGGCTGTGTTGTACTGTACATATATCTCCAAAACCATTTATCTTGCATAAGGGAGACTTGGTACCCTTGGACCAAAACTATCCGTTCCAGCCTCCCCCCAGCCCCTGGCAACCACCGTTCTTCTCTCTACTTCAATGAGTTTGACTCTTAGACTCCACACGTAACTGGAATCAGGTAGTTTGTCCTTCTGTGACTAGTTTATCTCAGCATTTAGGGCTCAAGTTCACCCATGCTGTTGCAAGTGCAGGATTTCCTCCTTTGTTAAAGCTCAGTAATACTCCATTGTATGTATATACCATGTTTTGTTTATCCATTCATCTGTGGGTGGACATCTAGGTTATTCCCATGTCTTGGATATTATAATAGTGTCAAAATCAATGCGGGCATGCAAATAGGTCTTTGAGATCCTGATTTTAATTTCTTTGGATAAATGCCCAGAGGTGGGATTGCTGGATCATATGGTAGTTCTATTTTTTAAGTTTTTGAGGAGCCTTTATACTGCTTTTCATAGTGGCTGTATGAACTAGAAATTCTTTCTGTACGATCTCTTTTCTATCCAGTCTCTACAGACGAGTGGCACAGTATCTCATTGTTTCTTTTCTCTCTCATTTTTTTGTTTCTTTAACTTAAAGAGTTGCTTCCAAAATGTCCCTCCTTATAAACATGTTATCATTTCTTAAATGATGTCTTTATATGATGTGAGGAAACTGCCGTAGTCAAGGACAGAAGCAGGCCAGGACTCAGAATTATTAGCTACTGCCTGTTTTCTCCGAGACAGAAAGGAGAAAGTCAGTATCCCAGAAAGGCCTGCCCTTTGGCCTTGACCTCTGAGTTCTTTATGCGTTTTCCATGATTCCTCCTTACCCAGACTCCCAGATTCTTTTACGTTAACAGGAATGCCCTGGCCTTTCCCGTATTAGCTCTTTACCTCATCCCCCTAAACTGATCATCCCATGGCTGAACGTGCCCCCGAACTTGTTGATTGGACAAGGAGAAGCACTTAGGTTTCTCGTAGTTTAAAATGAAGTATCTGGCCTTTGGCAGATACTCTGCTTCTGAGAAAAACCCTAAAGGGACTGGGAACAGATTAATAGGTGTCTCCTTACTGCCCTCACCTGGTGAAAAGTGGGGACTGCTGGGAGGAGGGGGGAAAAAAACTAAAAATGTAAATTCATTTCACACATACCCGAATTATTTAAAGGTAGGACTTTTACCCTCACCTCACAGACCCTGAAAGTTTTGGCCTTCCTGACCAGTGTGATGTCACTCATCTACACTTATAATTTTAAAGTTCTCTTAAAATGCCCTCACTTTACAAGTGTGTGAAAATCCAGCCCTTCCTCCCATATGATGTGTTTACATTTATGATGGTGACGAGAGATAAAGGAAAGCCTTGAATACTGCTAATTGTTATCTGCCTTTTTAAAATTTGAGGGCTGCTGGGTTTAAGATTTTTTCATTTAAGATCCTACAAGGAATTAAAACAGTAATTTCTCATTAAGTAAAGAGGTAATTGGATGGATGTTACAAGTTTTTTTAAATAGCAATTGGGATCTTTAGTAGTTATGTTAAAATACTTTTATGACTATTGAAACAGAACATTAATGGAATGTAAACATTATCACTAGAATAGTCATTTTTTTCTCGTTCAGAGTTTGGTATTTATTCATTTTTTTAATTAAAGTTGAAATTTTGAAGATTATTACAAATTTACCCAAATACTGAAAGTAACCTTGAAGACAAATGTTGAAATACAACAATTTTTTAAAATCATCTAAGAAATAGTTTCCCTCAAATGTATAAGAAATTAAAGAGGGCTGGCTGAGTGGCTCAGTTGGTTAAAAGCTCGCTCAAGAGTTTGAGCTCTGAACAACAGGGTCCCGCAGTTTGATTCACAGCCCAAGCTGCCAACAGGTGGCAGGATGGCTCAGCTAAAAAAAAAAAAAAAGATTTTTACAACTATTGCACTGTGTTGTACAGCTGAAACTAATTCTAAAAAATGTGTATTTCATAATAAAAAATAATTAAAAGAAAAAATCAATTGTTATAGTAACTAACTCAGCCAGCTTTATTTGTGAAACAAGGAAATAAAGGCTTACTTCTCTTTTAAAAAAAAAAGAAGTTAAAGAAAATGATTTTTTTAATAGCCATATTTGAGCTGCTAAGAAAAAAAAGAGTATGACCTAAGAAAACCTTGGATTAAATTGTTCAAGTGTTGGGCACACATAAGAAAATGTCATCGTATGAATAAGAAATTGTAATCAATTCCAGATTCAAAAATGTCCTCCCCACCACCCCCCACACACACACACACACACACACACACACACACACACACACAGGCCACTCCCTTCTGAGAAGAATAGATGTGACTGTAGGCCAGGTGATTTGGTAGCAAGTGTTAAATTTCATTTAATCCATTCATGCACCAAACAGAAGCAAACACACTTGCTATCTTCCTGCAATTCTGCCCATTCTCACTGTTCAGCACTCCTAGAAAAGCCAAGCCCGCCCCTTGTGCGTTAACTCCTACCCCTTGTCTGGACTATTCTAGAACTTGGTTCCAGCAATGCTCCTCTCTGTCTTTGTTGGTTATTCCACCCCCACCCCCATCAGCATACAAGCATGATCTTATTTCCCCTATCTTGTAAAAGCTCCCTATTGATCCCACTTCTGGTTACCATTCACACATCTCTCCATCATTTTGCAGCAAAACTTGAAAAGAATTGTATAAATTCACTGTCTCCATTTTTTCTCCTCTCATGTTCTTTGGAAGCCGGTCTATCTTTTACCCTTATCATTTCACTGGAACTGCTCTCATCAAGTTCACCAGCGATTATTACCAGGTCCAGCAGCCAGTAGTGGATGGATTCTCATTTCGAGACTTACTGGACCCAGTGAAACACGGAAGCGACTTCACTCCCTGCTCCTTCCCAGCCTCCTTTGCTGGTTCCTCCTCATTCCCCAGGCTCCTAATTCAGCCCTTTGCCTATTTTACATCATTACTAGGTTTTCTAACAGACGTCTCAAAAGAGATTTCCTGATCTCCCACCCCTTTTCCTAACCCCTGGAAAGGGTGAATGTGACTTTTTGTGAGTAGAATGTCTTGGCAGATATGATTAAGGTAAGGATTTCGAGATGAGCTCATCCTGGATTACCTGGGTGTGAGGCCTAACCCCAAAGAAAAGTCTCTCCAGGTGACTTTGCCATATTACTACCCACACTCCCATCCTGCTGAGAACCACTGATCTCTGGTATTTTGAGGTGAAGGTGGGGTAGGATGAAGGAAACAGGCAAAACACAGAAGCATGCGCGCGTGCACACACAAACACACACACACACACACACACACACACACACACACACACACACACACACACACTGCATTCATTACCATTCTTTAAATCGGAATTAGAATTTCAGAATCTGTCCCATAAAGATCATGGCCTTCTCTTATGAAAGTAATTTAAGAAAAACAGGTTAGAGATATTTCTAAGGACACAAATATAATTAAGCTGTAAGTTGTAGGAGTAAGACAAACTTTCTATGAATTATTTCCAGACCAAGAGATGCAAGCTTATTTCCTCCAAGCCCATATCTGATGTCAGCCATAATTAAAACAAGTGTGAAGAATGGAGACAATGTATGGTGCAAAGAGATTTTTAATCTTTCAGCATGAACTAGGATCTAAAAGATAGATAGGTATGAATCCGGGAGAAGATGAAAGGATAAAATTATCACTTATGGAATCGTTTGGATTGAGAAATGTCAAGAGCACTCGGGTAAATTCTGTAGCGTGACATGAAGATAAGTTAACCAAGAAACCCTAGACACTTCTGGAGGACCTAATTTGTGCAGGGCTGTCCACAGAGTACAGGGAAATATAGGAAGGAGTGCAGGCAACCACCCGTAGTAGCAGAGGGTTCACATCTAGTCAGAGAGAGGCAGTCAGTACCTGGCAAGGGCTTAACAATTTGCAGGAGGAATTCTCCATAGGGCATGTGTGTGGCCAGAGGAGTGGGACAGAAGTGGAACCAGCGACACTGCTGGGGGAACAGTTTCTGTTCTAACACTAAATCACCCAGGAATGAAGGAAAGGAAAAAAGGGACCTAGCCGTCTCCCAGGAGAATCCTGTGCTTCTATGGCCCTTCATGTATATTTCATCTTGCCATTAATCATGTTAATATTTAAATATATGAAATAAGTCTATATATTTAAATAGTGTGATGTTTGGTCATCAAATATAATATATATGCATCATAGAAAAATTGAAAATATCAAGAACTTTTTTTTCTTTTAGAGGAACAGCGTTGGGGAATCTGGGAAGGGGAACAGACAAGTTGCTGTCCTTTTGTTCTTCAGTCTAGTTGTGGAGGACGTTGCTTCACTGGCCCATGTTGGTATTATCATTGTGCTCTTCCCGGGGGAGGC